ATGTTGAGCGAGGAAAGGCGGAGGGTGGAGATGTCATTCTGAAGCCCAAAGTGGGTGTGAAAAATAATGCAGAGAATTTTATTTGGAAGTTAGGAAGGTGCAGGATTCCCAAAAAGTTTTCCAAGGGGCTGAGGAAAGGTTGTTAGGTGGTTTGGGCATGTAGAGAGAATGGGGTGAAACAGAGTGACTTTTAAGAGTGTTATCATGTTAGTGGGAAAGGGGCAGGGGAGGGTCAGCCTAGGAAAGGTTGGGGGGAGGGTGAAAAAAGGGGTTTTGTGGCAGGGGGTTGGAAACCCCTTTTTTTCCGCAGGGGTTTTTGATAGGATGAATGGAGACAAATGGTTTTTTAAAAACTTGACGTCTTTTGGGGGTGTGAGCAAAGTAACATTTAGAAGGGGTTCATGGAAACCGGCAGGCCGGACTTGAGTCCTGGAGATGGGAAGTACAGTGCCTGCACTCTGAAGGAGGGGTGTTAATGTTGCAGTTTAAAAACTGCAGTGTAAAGCACCCTTCTGGCAAGGCAGTCATGGAATGAATGATGGTGAAAGTTTTTCTTTTTCTGGCCACCCTGCCTTGGTGGGAATCGGCCAGTGTGATAATAAAAAAGCCAAGTTATGTTACTGGGAGTACCAAGTTGTGTTACTGGAAGTACTAAGTTATATTACTGGGGGTACAAAGTTATATTACTGAGATTCAAAGTTATATTACTGGGGGTACAAAGTTATATTACTGGGAGTACCAAGTTATATTACTGGGAGTACCAAGTTATATTACTGGGAGTACCAAGTCATATTACTGGAAGTACTAAGTTATATTACTGGGAGTACCAAGTTATATTACTGGGAGTACCAAGTTATATTACTGAGAGTACTAAGTTTTATTACTGGGGTACTAAGTTATATTACTGAGAGTACTAAGTTATATTACTGGGCATGCAAAGTTCTATTACTGTGGGGTACTAAGTTATATTACTGAGGGCACTAAGTTATATCACTGGGGGTGCTAAGTTATGTTACTGGGGTACTAAGACATATTACATGCACCAACAGGGAATACAGTCACAGAAACCCAAGGCAAACGGAAACCAAGCCTGTGCACATACTATGCACTCGGTATCTGCTGGCATGGGAAATCTGGAAAAACAGATGGGACGTGCAACTATGACCACCCTAGGAAATGCCATGCCCATATGACAACAGGAAAATGCAAACTCCCTTCCTGTAAGCTTTTTCACCCTGAACTGTGTACCTCTTCAGTACAGGAAAGACTGTGCTATAACTTAAATTGCCAGGCATACCATCTAAAGGGGACAAAAAGATACAAAACATCCAGGCCATGGGAAAACCTGGGTAGCCACAGCCACTCAAGAGGGAGAGGTTTTTTAGTGCCAGGAAGGAAAAAAAACTGGCAGGAAATGGCAGAAATTGTACACCAAATCCAGTCATTCCTGGAGTGGAACCACAGTCGATGGCCTCCACTCCAAACCAACAGATACAGATACTAATGCCGGAAAAAAAATCCCCCCCAGTACCAACAATACCACCAGTCCGATAACATTCTTCTTTGCAAATATACAGGGTCTAAAGCCAGCAACAAACAACAAAATACCTTTCATCCGTGGACTGCTTGCAGAGGCAAAGGCAATGTTCGCGGCTTTCACTGAGACCCACATAAAGGATCACTTGGACAACGAAATATGGATCCCAGGTTACAACCTATACAGATGTGACAGAGTGAACAGGCAAAAGGGGGGGGGTTGGCCTGTACATTGCAGAGTCACTTGTTTGCACAGAACTGCTAAATGCCTCAAATGATGTAGTGGAAGTTTTAGCAGTAAAGGTCGAGAACCAAAACCTAGTCATTGTGATAGTCTACAAGCCTCCGGATGCAACATCCCAGCAATTCCAGGAACAGCTGTTAAAAATTGACCACTGTCTGGAAAACCTTCCAGCTCCTGCACCCAACATCTTGCTCCTGGGGGATTTCAACTTAAGGCACCTAAAATGGAGGAATATAGCAAATAATATTGTTGCAGTAATAACACCAGGAGGCAGCTCTGATGAAAACTCACACTCACGCGAGCTTTTAAATCTCTGCACAAAATTCAATTTAAACCAGCAAATAATAGAGCCTACTAGACTGGAGAATACACTAGACCTCATCTTCACTAACAATGATGAACTGATAAGAAATATCACCATATCAAAAACAATATACTCAGATCACAACATAATTGAGGTTCAGTCATGTATGCGCGGAGCCCCAGACCGACATAATGAGATTAGTCACGAGGGAGCATTCACCAAATTCAACTTCAATAACAAAAACATAAAGTGGGACCAAGTAAACCAAGTCCTAACCGATATAAGCTGGGAAGATATACTAAGCAACACAGACCCCAACTTATGCCTAGAACAGATTAACTCGGTGGCACTCGATGTATGCACAAGGCTTATTCCTCTAAGAAAAAGGAGGAGTAGATGTAAAACAGAAAGAGACAGGCGCTCCCTTTACAGGCGATGGAAAGAATAACAGAGCGGCTAAAAAGAGGTCAATATATCTGAAATGCGTAGGGAGACACTGGTCAGAGAAATAGCAAGCATCGAACTTAAGCTAAAAGAATCCTTTAGGAGTCAGGAATCGCGGGAAGAACTAAAAGCCATAAATGAAATCGAAAGAAACCCAAAGTATTTCTTCTCCTATGCCAAATCAAAATCGAGAACAACGTCCAGTATTGGGCCCCTACTTAAACAAGATGGGTCCTACACAGATGACAGCAAGGAAATGAGTGAGCTACTCAAGTCCCAATATGACTCAGTTTTTAGCAAACCGCTAACCAGACTGAGAGTCGAAGATCAAAATTAATTTTTTATGAGAGAGCCACAAAAATTTGATTAACACAAGCCTATCCGATGTTATCCTGACGCCAAATGACTTCGAACAGGCGATAAATGACATGCCCATGCACTCTGCCCCAGGGCCAGACTCATGGAACTCTGTGTTCATCAAGAACTGCAAGAAGCCCCTATCACGAGCCTTTTCCATCCTATGGAGAGGGAGCATGGACACGGGGGTCGTCCACAGTTACTAAAAACAACAGACATAGCCCCACTCCACAAAGGGGGCAGTAAAGCAACAGCAAAGAATACAGACCAATAGCACTAACATCCCATATCATAAAAATCTTTGAAAGGGTCCTAAGAAGCAAGATCACCACGCATCTAGAAACCCATCAGTTACACAAACCCAGGGCAACATGGGTTTAGAACAGGTCGCTCCTGTCTGTCTCAACTATTGGACCACTACGACAAGGTCCTAAATGCACTAGAAGACAAAAAGAATGCAGATGTAATATATACAGACTTTGCAAAAGCCTTCGACAAGTGTGACCATGGCGTAATAGCGCACAAAATGCGTGCTAAAGGAATAACAGGAAAAGTCGGTCGTTGGATCTATAATTTCCTCACTAACAGAACACAGAGAGTAGTCATCAACAGAGTAAAGTCCGAGGCAGCTACGGTGAAAAGCTCTGTTCCACAAGGCACAGTACTCGCTCCCATCTTGTTCCTCATCCTTATATCCGACATAGACAAGGATGTCAGCCACAGCACCGTGTCTTCCTTTGCAGATGACACCCGAATCTGCATGACAGTGACTTCCATTGCAGACACTGCAAAGCTCCAGGCAGACATCAACCAAATCTTTCAGTGGGCTGCAGAAAACAATATGAAGTTCAACGATGAGAAATTTCAATTACTCAGATATGGTTAAACATGAGGAAATTAAATCTTCATCAGAGTACAAAACAAATTCTGGCCACAAAATAGAGCGAAACACCAACGTCAAAGACCTGGGAGTGATCATGTCGGAGGATCTCACCTTCAAGGACCATAAATTGTATCAATCGCATCTGCTAGAAAAAATGACAGGATGGATAATGAGAACCTTCAAAACTAGGGAGGCCAAGCCATGATGACACTCTTCAGGTCACTTGTTCTATCTAGGCTGGAATATTGCTGCACACTAACAGCACCTTTAAGGCAGGTGAAATTGCCGACCTAGAAAATGTACAGAGAACTTTCACGGCGCGCATAACGGAGATATAAAACACCTCAATTATTGGGAGGCTTGAGGTTCCTAAACCTGTATTCCCTGGAACGCAGGAGAGAGAGATACATGATTATATACACCTGGAAAATCCTAGAGGGACTAGTACCGAACTTGCACACGAAAATCACTCATTACGAAAGCAAAAGACTTGGCAGACGATGCACCATCCCCCCAATGAAAAGCAGGGGTGTCACTAGCACGTTAAGAGACCATACAATAAGTGTCAGGGGCCCGAGACTGTTCAACTGCCTCCCAGCACACATAAGGGGGATTACCAACAGACCCCTGGCAGTCTTCAAGCTGGCACTGGACAAGCACCTAAAGTCAGTTCCGGATCAGCCGGGCTGTGGCTCGTATGTTGGTTTGCGTGCAGCCAGCAGCAACAGCCTGGTTGATCAGGCTCTGATCCACCAGGAGGCCTGGTCTCAGACCGGGCCGCGGGGGCGTTGACCCCCGGAACTCTCTCCAGGTAAACTCCAGGTAAACTAGGGGTACTAAGTTATACTACTGAGGGTACTAAGTTATATTACTGGGGGTACCAAGTTTTGGTTTAGTCTCTTGTAGTAACCACTGTAATGTAACTTAGTTATGTTACTGGGGGTACAAAGTTATATTACTGGGATACTAAGTTATATTACTGGGGCTACTAAGTTATATTATTGGGGGTACAAAGTTATATTACAGGGGAACCAAGTTATGTTACTGGGGGTACTAAGTTATATTAATGGGGATACTAGGTTTGGTTTAATCTTTATAATGGTTCTTCTCAAATATAAAATTGTTTTTAACAATGTTTTGAAAATATTTAAATAATTATACAATGATTCAGTACAGAATGGTATTGTATAACTTAAAAATGTTAATGTTTTGTAATTTTCATTTGTTATCAGATTAAAGGAGAGGTTACAGGAGGTGTTAACATTACTGACTAAAGAAGTGGAAGAAAATCTTTCATCTGTTCTTGACACTGGTCATTGGTCACATTTACTTGGTGTAATGCATCAGTTTCTCCATTTATATTATATGGTGAACAACTGGACCAAGAGCTCTCATGTAAGTATTTATTTTGATTTATTACACATTTAGCCCTTCAACTCTCATTTTCATGTAGATCTATGTTGTTGATGTCAATGTTACTTGTGTAGATCTGTGTTTTTGATGTTGGTGTTGGTTGTGTAGATCTATGTAGTTGACGTTAGTGTCGCTCGTGTAGATTTGTACCATTGATGTCAGTGTCACTCATGTAGATCTGCATCTTAATTGTAGTTACCTCAAATATGCTGTGATAAGTAAATTTTGGCTTAGACACAAGAGAGTGGGTGAGGCCGATGTGTTTACCTGGAGTTTACCTGGAGAGGGTTTTGGGTGTCAACATTCCCATGCCCCTGTCTGAGACCAGGCCTCGTGGTGGATCAGGATCTGATCAACCAGGCTGTTACTGCTGGCCGCACGTAAACTGACATACGAACCACAGCTCGGCTGATTAGGTACTGAATTTAGGTCTGTCGAGAGTCTTCTTAACTCTCTCAGGGTCCGTGCCGTAGTTCTACGGCTTTGAGTTGAGGGTCCAAACCGTAGTTCTATGTCATGAGCTCAGGTCAGTCAGATAAGCTGTGAGCAGTAAATTTGGGCCTAGATATGAGAGAATACATCTATGTGGTATGTGTGCACCACATAAAACAAAACCTGCAGCACACAGTGCATAATGAGAGAAAAAAGTGAGACCATGATTTTCGATTAAAACAGCGACTTTGCAGTGTTTTTTTGCATGTTTTTTATAGTTGTATTTGCAATTTCTTAGTCTCATTTGATAGAATGGAAGATATCTTACAGAAATAGAGATGATTTTGATTGGTTATAATTTTGAAAATGGCTTGAAATTGAGCTCAAAGTAGTGGAAATGTTAAATTTTCACCGATGCTCAAGAGCAAACAAATGACCTCACACGTCTAATCCACGCCAGCTGGTGGGTCTAATATACGTTCACAAATGTGGTGATATTATTTATACAATTATCAATATTGCATAACAGTAAATCTTCTATTCTTTGGTTTGAATTAAAATTCATTATGTGAATAAAAAATCAAAATGGAATTAGTTTGTAAAACCTGAAAATGTAACTAATGAACAGAGGAAATGTTAATTTAGTGCCTGGAATGCCTGCATTGTTTATTCTGGACCCTATTTTGAAATTGGAATATTTTGATCTTTGCTTTAAATTGGCCAAATTATTTTGTAGTTGAAGCAGTTGACTAGGCAATTTCTTGTGCTCATTCGATAGAATTGAAGTAATATTAGTGAAATAGCTAAGAATTTGGTTGACTGTTTAATTGTAATTTGCCTAAAATGGGAGACAAAGTTGGCAAAATTGCCAATGCGTAAATATAGCTGACACATCAAAAGTCATGAGGGCATAATTTCATCAGTTTTCCATCAAATTTCATGTTTTTTGTTTTATTACCTTCAGAGAAAGTTTCTCTACCATTTCATGAGAAAAAATAAAAAAATTTTTTTTTTTTAAATTCTTGGACCTTGATGCACACTTCTGGACTCTGAAAGGGTTAACCCCTTGACTGTTGCAACTCCAAATCCTGAGGTGTCCCCTGGTGTCGCAAAATTTAAAAAAAAAAGATTTTTTCTTTTGAAATGATCGAGAATCTTTTCCCAATTGTAATGACACCAAAAGAATGAAATTTGATGGAAAACTGATGGAATTACGCTCTCGCGAAGTTAGCAATCTCGGCGATTTCACCCAATTTGAGCCCTATTTTCAGCTAATTCCATTGTTCCAGTCGACAAAACTCATAGCTATTTCTTTAGAACTCCATTTTTTTCTATCGATTGAGTACAAGAAACTGCCCATTTACTTATTTCAACTACCCAATAATGTGGTCAGAAATTTACAATTTGGCCCATTTCACAAATTAAAAAATATGACAATTTCAAAATAGGGTCCAGAATGAACAATGCAGACATTCCTGGCTCTAAAATAACATTTTCTTTGTTTATCAGTCATGTCTCCAGGCCCCTCTGATTAATATTACTCTTGCTTTCTATTTTGAATTTTTATTCAAACAAAAAATAGAAGATTTACTGTTATGCAGACTCCTGCAATATTGTAATAATTGTATAAATAACATCAATCTATTCATGACTGCATATTAGAATGGCTACTTGGACATTTATTGGAAAATGACATCATTTATTTACTTTTGAACTTCGGCAAAAATCAAACATTTCCCCTACTTTGAGCTCCATTTCAAGGTTCTTGTCATAGTAAAACCAATCAATATCACCCTTATTTCTATAATATGTTTTCCATTCTATCAAATGAGACCAAGAAAACAAGAATACAACTATAAATACTATACGAAAATAGACCACAAAGTCAGCATTTTAATTAATAAAAAACGGTCGGAGTTTTTTTTTCTCATTATGCACTGTGTGCTGCAGGATTTTTTTTATATGGTGCACACTGACCACACAGACCCATTCTCTCACATGTGGGCCTACCAGTTTTCTCCTGCTTGATTTGAAGCGTCTAGAATTTATGAGTATATATACGTCAATCATGGTGGCTCGTAAGACGTATATATATGACTGAAACAGCCAAAGGGTTAAAGACAGTCAGGGGTCTATTGGTAATCCCCATTATGTGTGCTGGGAGGCAGTTGAAAAGTCTTGGGCTCCTGGCACTTATTGTGTTGTCTCTTAGTGTACTCGTGGCACCCCTGTTTTTCATTGGGGAATGTTGCATCTCCTACTGAGTCTTTTGCTTTTGTAGGGAGTGATTTTTGTTTGCAAGTTTGGTACTAATCCCTCTAGGATTTTCCAAGTGTATATTATGATGTATCTTTCTCACCTGCATTCCAGGGTGTGCATACTATAAAAAAAAATTGCTGCATGCAGTGCATGATGGAAGCAGCAAACCTCTGCCTGGTCTGTGGGTAAAATAGCAACCTTGAGCTAAAAAATAAAAATAAAACTAACTTTTCTTTCTTAAGAGGCATTCAAGGAATATAAAGTAGATATGCATTCCAGTTGATAGTGTTTAATACAGTGGAACCTCCACTCACGAGTTTAATCCATTCCATAACCTTGCTCACATCTGCATTTGCTCGTTTGCAGAGTCAATTTTCCTCATTTAAATTAATTGAAATGCAAATAATCTGTTCCAGTGGAATTCTGTACTTCAATAATTTCCCTAATATCAACTCTACGGCTTATTTATCTATCACAATTCATCTAATATGACATAATAAACAATATAGATAACATAGAAACTTGATATATACTCTAGAATGAATAAAATATGTCATTCCGTTGTAGTATCATTTGTAGAATAATTTTGCTAATATCATCTATACGGCTTATTTATCTATCACAGTTCATCTAATATGACATAATAAACAATATAAATAACACAGAAACCTGATATATATTCTAGAATAAATAAAATACAGTAGTACCTTGACTATGAGTGCCCCAACTTACGAGCGATGGCTCGTAACTCAGTTACGAGCTGTTGCTCGGTCAATTTTTTGCTTTGAGTTGCAAGCGAAAATCTGAGTTACGAGCGAGCTTCAGATATGCTGCCACTAGCAGGAGAGAGAAAATATAAAAAACCTAGATAATAACCAATGTGTAACATCTTTTCAATTTTGATACCACTGGTAGTATCGTCCTGCCAGAATGTTTTATAACATATGCTCTTAGTAAAGAGAAACAATTCTGGAACATGTATAATACATGATTGGCAGGCTGGCTGGTTGGGTGGCTGGCAGGCTGATTTGCTTTGGCTGTCTCTATCTCCTTTTGTCTGTCTGTATCTGTCTCTGTCTGTGTCACTATCTGTGTCTTTATCTGTCTCAGACTATCTCTATCTCTGTCTCTGTCTGTCTCTCTGTCTCACAGGTACACATAAATACAGAGAGACAGGAAGACAGAAACACAGCCAGACAGACAGATAAGCAGAGACAGAGATAAACAATGACAGAGCTACACAGACAGAAACAAACAGAAAGACAGACATGTTTATGTGTAACAGTGAAAAATAAAGCCAAGGCAGCGCTCGATCATCAAATGTCACTCCACGAGTGTCACTCCACTGCCGATGGAGTGGCACTCATCTTACACCGTGCTTCAAGGAGTTTCATATATACTCCAGCATTTCTAAAACATTGCTGGGACCATGCAAAAAAAGCAAAAATCATTTCTTATTTATAAATACATTTTTCTCATTTAAAAACCCGTAACAAAAAAATTGGTGTGGTTTTTTGGGGGCTGGAATGAATTAATGGCATTTCAGTTTATTTCATTGAGGAAAATTGATTTGATATACAAGCAAATTGAGTTACGAGTTTGGTCATGGAACGAATTAAAAACGTAAGTCAAGGTACCACTGTATGTCATTATGTAACAGGTGGAGGCGGGCACAACCGCTCCCACTTTGTTGTGGTAAACACTGCCATCTAGTGATGGCTTTTTGAAGCCAAGCAGTAGCTTCTTCAGTCCAATACAGAGAATAATGATTGAAGATCAGAAGTAGTTTGAGGTAATTACCCTGGAAGGCAATATTGAATACCATCATATTCACACTGATACCACAACACAATGGTATCTTGGTAGAGAGAACATTTTTCACAACCTTGTTCCTGATCATTAGTTATGAGTGATACGGGGTTTGATTGGAGAAGGATCTATCAAGTAGGTTTTCAGCACTGCTTCTCAATTATCTTCTTTCTTCTACTAGTGGGTCTCACCTCTTCTGTCATCAAGATTTTCTCTTCCTCACCTTGACAGTATATAAGTTTTTATTCTGTTGCCTCAGCTTCACATTGTTTCAAGCCATGAACTCCTCAGTCCCTCAGCCTGGAGAGTAACCTCTCTATTGAACTGACAAAACCACTGGCTGGTAAAACATCTTCATAATAAAGATACCCAGGTGTTTCACATGTGTCTTATTCATCATCTCTTGGTATTGTATACCATTAATGTTACCATATAATTTATTATTATAAACTGGATATATAATTTATCATATTCAGGTATATAACCTGTGTTTTAAGAGGTGGCTAAAATGTTAGGATCAAGGGGCTAGTAACACCTTCTCCTGTATTAATTACAAAATGTGAAAAGAATAATGTTTATTTCTTCATATTTGAGTCACTCTGCCTCTGTGGGAGACAACCCATGTGTTAAAAAAAAAAATACAGTTCATATATTTTTTCACATAATGGACATAAAATTCATCATGTATGTTGTAATTAAAAGTGTTTGTAGATAATGTTACATAATTTGTTTCAGGATGCAAATGCAAAAAGAAATGGAGAGGAGTTGGGAAAGCATTTATTGTGCTGGACACCTGAAACTCTGCTCTCATGTATGTTGCAACTCGTCAAGACAAGAACCACAAAGACTCACAGTGAAACTCAGCAAGAAGGCTCACAAAGTAGCAATAGTTCCAGAACATCGCTAAGCCAAGGTAAGTATTGAAAGTTGTCATTTAGTTCTTTATCTCCACCAGGGACTGGTTTTTGCCTTGTAGATATCTCTGATGCCTTCAGATGTTGCTCTTCTGAGCATCATTTGAAATGTGGTCCTCATTCACATCTAGAAGGACAGCTAGAATGATGGTGAATTTGTTATCTTCTATGAGTTACCTAAAGGTAAAATATCTGTAATGGTTCACCAGAAGCAAATATCTTCAGTCATTTAAATTGTGTACATTAACTTAAGACTGTTTAAGGTCATCATTGATGCCATAAACAGTCCAGCACAGTGTACAGTATTATTACTGCATTTTTGGGGTCTTGACAGCATATGTTAGAAAGCTGCTGTCTACCATACTAACTGGGCAACTTTGGGCATACCTCATACACATTCTCATGAGCAACTTTTGAAGTCACTCATTTTCACTACTATTTTGTTAATACTGTATTTTCACACTTGCAAGAGCTCCACATTTGATCTTATTTCCTGGCCCAAATAAGTTACCACAATTGGTATTACTATTACACTACAGTTCAATTCAATTCAAAGTTTATTCTCTATAAGGATTACAATGCTGAGTTTACAGAATTTGGTTATTGTGTGGTTTACATGTAGTAAAATAATAATTACAGAGTGTACCACTAGAACACCTAGCATGGCTGGGCATTTCGGGCAGACTTAGATTAAATCTTAAGTTTAAAATATTACAAAATTATGATGTAAGTTGGTATTATAGCTAAGTGACTAAATGCTAGTTTGTGAGTTTAGCAATGTGAATGCTTTTGTTTTGGCACTATACATAGTTTCAGTATTGGAGTATCACAGGCCAACTTATGACTAGTTAAGATTCATTATTTTGAGATTAAGATTGATATTTCTGTTTATGGTCAAATGGGTGAGTGAGTGTAAGTGTGAACCACCAGGTGGTATTTGTGTAATTAGTTGACAGGGTGTATCAGGGAGATAAGATGTTTTCTGATGGTAGTTTTGAAGGTGATGAATGTGTCTGCAGTTTTAGCATTTTCAGGTAGGGTGTTCCAGATTTTAGGGACTTTGACATACATTGAATTTTTGTAAAGGTTTAGTCGGACACTGGGAATGTCGTAGAGATGTTTGTGTCTGGTGTTGTGCCTTTGCGTTCTGTCACAACTATCAAGAAAGCATTTTAGGCCAAGGTTAATATTGGAATTTAAGGTCCTGTAGATGTAGATTGCACAGTAGTAAGTGTGGATGTACTGAACAGGGAGTAAGTTTAGATCTATGAAGAGTGGGGGGGGGGGGTGTTGCCAGGGATGGGATTTAGTGATTATTCTTACTGCGGCTTTTTGTTGGGTTATTATTGGCTTTTGGTGTGTTGCTGCAGTTGAACCCCAAGCACAGATAGCATAGGTGAGGTATGGATATATAAGTGAATGGTATAGTGTGAGAAGGGCAGTTTGCGGCACGTAGTATCGTATCTTGGAGAGGATCCCAACCGTTTTGGATACTTTTTTGGTTGTGTGTTGGATATGGGTGCTGAAGTTCAGGTTGTTGTCGAGGTATAGGCCTAGGAATTTGCCCTCATTATGCCTGGCAATTAGAGTGTTGTCGATCTTAATGTTAATTTGCGCATCTCCTGCTCTGCTACCAAACATGATGTAGTAGGTTTTGTCAGTGTTAAGCGTAAGTTTATTGGCTGTCATCCAAGTCGATATTTTGATCAGCTCCTCATTAACAATGGTGTTGAGGGTGGCAAGATTAGGGTGAGAGATGACATAAGTCGTGTCGTCAGCAAAGAGAATGGGGTTCAGGTGTTGAGATACGTTTGGAAGATCATTGATGTATATGAGGAAGAGCAGGGGACCAAGGACACTTCCCTGCAGAACTCCAGTATCAAGTGGCTGTGTTGTTGATGCTGTGTCTTTAATGGTGACATACTGATACCTATTAGTAAGGTAAGATTTGAAATATGCAAGCGCATGGCCTCTTATACCATAATGGTCAAGTTTGTGGAGTAGGATGCTGTGGTCTACTGTGTCAAAAGCTTTTCTTAGGTCAATAAAAATTCCTAGTGGATATTCCTTATTTTCCAGTGCTGTGTAAAGCAGATCTAGTATTTTTATGATTGCATCGTTAGTGCTTTTATTTTTCCTGAATCCAAATTGGCAGGGGTTGAATATGTTTTGTGCTGTTATAAATGAATATAGTCTCCTGTGCATGAGTTTCTCAAAGATTTTGGATAGCAATGGTAATCAAAAAACAATAAAAAAGTACAATACACACATAGTGCACTCATTACTTACCTTAAAATATTTATAGTCTTAATCTAGGGTGAGACAAGTAGTATTTATTATAAGAAATCAAGTGTGGTATGTATAGTAGTCAGCCAGGCTACCATACCAGGCCACCCCACCCACACATACAATTCTGTGATATTTAAGCATCCCAGAGTGATAAAATGTATATACAGTTCACTCATTACTTACCTTAAAATATAGGGTGAGATGAGTAGTATTTATTGTAAAAAATCAAGTGTGGTATGTATGGTAGTCAGCCAGGCTACCATACCAGGCCAACCCACCTACACATAATATTCTATTACATTTAAGCATCCCAGAGCGATAAAATGTATATACAGTTCACTCATTACTTACCTTAAAATATATGTAGTCTTAATGTAGGGTCAGGAGTAAGTAAATGAGATAAAACGAATAAATGAGAGAGAGAAAGAATGAGTGCATGAAAGAGTTCAGGCGCAGAGTTATGTAAACAAACCAGGCGAAGGTAAGTTTTGTAAACAAAGTGTACACGTCTGGTTTGTGTACAAGTTACATTGTGTACAGGTTGTCTCTACATTGATAATGGTAGAATAAATAAAGAAGAACACTCCCATTCTCATGTAACATCATTTTGAGAAGAAATGATGCTCTGAGTGAAGGCAATGGAAATAAGTCACTCTGACTTTTTTGGGTTATCCTAGGTTCTCTACACATATGTTGTTATGTATGATAATCTATGTAACTGTATTTGTGTATACCTGAATAAACTTACTTACATACATACAAAAGGAATAATTTTCTACAGTTACCCCCAGTAACACATTTTCTCTTATGTTAGATTAGAGAAAATGTTATTCTTGGCATCACTTGTACAAGTTATCTGGCTACCACATCTCATATTTATGCTTATTTATTCTATTGTGGGGTGTATTTATCATCTTTTTATGTTATGTATCGTGTTTATTATATAATTTTGAAAAAATATCATAGATGGATTAATGAAAATGTGTATTTAACATAATATACGACATTTAAATGAGACTCGATGATTATTATTATCATTACTAATATGACGTCTGGAGACATAAGACACTCTTACTGATTTTAATGTGTACCTGCATGCCAGCACAGTATGTAAGTTTATTTAAGTACAGGTATACATAAGTATAATTATCAGAGTATATATAAAATATGAAATAACTTTTAAAAACATTTGAAATTTTGGAGTTTCCAGACAAAATGGAGAGACTTAGTGCTTACTGAGCTCACGAAGAATGTAAACAAACATGGTGGGGTGCGGTGACCGTATTAGAAAGTCAGGTGGGGGGAGCCGTATAGCGAGTTTTGGTCATAATTTGAAATGACCGTATTAGCAGAATGCCGTAAAGTGAAACGCCGTAAAGCGGGGCCCTGCTCTATGAAGTTATATCTTCACCCTCTGTGAAGGGAGGTAAATTAGGTGTTGCACTATGTGCACTAGCTGCATGATGTCCAATTACTCCTTCCTCTAAATGTTGTTGTGTAAAAGTTAACTTTTTATTTTCTAATTCAAGGCGTGATTTTTCTACCTCGTGATCTTTCTGTCCTTTACGTAATTCATTCTCTCTACCTTTTTCCTCAACTTCTCTATCTTTTGCTCTTTCCTCAGGTTCTCTTAACCGAACTTGTTCCTCATGTATTTTAGCTTGTTCCTCACGTACTTTAGCTCTCTCATCATGATCAAGTCTGTCATGCTCCTTTTTATCTTCTCTTTCTCTTTCTAACAGTCTTTCTTGATTTTCTCTTTCAATTCGATCTCTCTCCTTTTTCTCCTCTCTCTCGATTCTCTCTCTCTTTCCTTTTTCTCCTCCCTTTCTCTTTCTAACTGTCTCTTCTCTCTCAATTCTTTCTCTTTCAATTCTTTCCTGGATCTTAGCACTAATGAAAGCTTCTAAATTTCCCCCCGTTATTCCTAACTTACTCCCAGCATTCATCCAAAACTGGTACTCCTCCATACTTGCAAGAATAACTTAAACTACCAGGGGAAAATGAAACAGATATATCAAAGAAAACGGAGGGTTCAATTCCTGCTCTGCTCAAACTGTAAATAAATCGGAGGGTTCGATCCCTGCTTCAATTAAACAGTATGTGTGAATGAAAACGGAGGGTTCTATGCTGGCTCTGATCAAACAGCAAGTTGAATGGGGTCCCTTGACCATCCAATCTTCTCACTAACAAATCAAGAGTGTCCTACAACAGTTCCCTTGATATAATAAATAGAGCTCAATGAAACAAGTTGTCACTGGAAAATCTCAGGTCTCTTGAGTCTATTCCTCCAAATCGTTTCAAGCTCACAAAAACAAGGATGACAGAATTAACTAGTATATCCTGCCTTGACTTGACTTACAATAAATTGAGACTATAACAATCACCAAATCTTTTAAATACCTGTACTGTAGCCCTACCATAGAGAATGATTACTCATGGCTGGTGGTAACTGACTGTGGTATGCGGCGTTGAAGGTCCAATGGTAGATTCGAGATGGAGTCGAATCTTGATTGAGTCGAGTTGATCCTGGCAAGGTCGCCACTTGTGAAGGCTTATTCAGCCCTGTAACAACTTCAGTAAGTATTACCAAGGCTGGCTCCTCCTCAGGAAAATTAATGAATAGAAAAAGAATAATAACAGACAAATACAGTGGACCCCCGCTTAACAATCACCTCCCAATGCGACCAAGTGTATTTATGTAAGTGCGTTTGTACGTGTATGTTTGGTGGTCTGAAATGGACTAATCTACTTCACAATATTGCTTATGGGAACAAATTCGGTCAGTACTGGCACCTGAACATACTTCTGGAATGAAAAAATATCGTTAACCAGGGGTCCACTGTATAAACACTTTATTATTTAGAAAGGAAATTATAAAACAATTAAATATGATTTTTTATTCTAATTGAAAGAGAAATGAAAAATGAAATATAAAAATAATATCTGAATTCAACGCTAATATGTACAGTTAGACTGGGGTGTCTGGTTGATGTTGACACCGCGTATTGTAGAAATTGTAGCCGTTGCTGATGATGGGGGGGGGGGTCACAGATGTTGAGTGACAACCCAACGACTAGTTCTTCAGAGTCTTTAGCCTTGAATAGTCTGTTAATATGATAGGAATGCAGGTCTTTCACCACTGCAAAGATGAGAGGTAGTTGCTTGGGGTTGACTACACTTATCAGGTACAAAGATAAAATGGTGATGTCTCAGAACTTGTGTAAAGTTCGTCTCCTTCGACAATGTTTCTTTGGTTGCCAGATGACCCGAGCTGACATTCCAAGCTAGAAAGAGACAAAGGTTATCGACTGCCTAAGAAATCACTCTCCATGATACGTAAAGTATTTAAAAAAAACATGGTGATTGTCTAAAAGCACATGGGAATCAAGGCAGAATGAACGATGTTTTTAAAATTGGTTAAAAGTGAAGCTTTTAACCAATATATACATTAAAAACAGGAGCAGAGGCTTTTACTTACAGTTGTGTTGGGAGCTGTGAGTCAAGTAATTACCATTTGGTCGGAGCCCCACACGTCACCTTTCTGGGTGGAAAAAGGGGAGGGGGGATAGCGGGAGCTAGACACTGACCCTACCTTAACAAGCAGACTGGCAATCAAACTATCGTCACCATAAACTCGCTTGCTACTCCTATCTGTTGAACTTTTCCCTCACATTAAGTTTGAGCTCTAGGTGAACAATCTTGGTAATGTAGGAGGCTTGAGTGGCTTTTGAGGGTTATCGATTTTGGATTAAGGTTTCTATTTCTTCACCTTGTGCTCTGAAGACTTCTGCCTCTCTTGAGTACTCAGTAAGAATTGTATTACAGCCCGGGAAGAGAGAAGTGTTGTTCAGGATGGTGGCCCGATTTATATTATGGTTGACTGATGTGAAGGAGCAGGAGGTGAAGTTGTACCGGCCTCTAAGCTAGTGATGAAGGAGATACAGAGATGATACTTTCCTCACCTGCCTTCAGAGTCTTGTGGCAGGCCTAGGGTTGTGGCTGGCCTAGGGTTGTGGTAGCCTAGGGCTGTGGTAGCCTAGGGTTGTGGTAGCCTAGGGTTGTGATAAGCCTAGGATTGTGCAAGCCTAAGTTACAAGTAAACTTGAGGTGGAAAATTTGTGGTGTCTACTTGCTCTGGGAATGGATGACCCACACACAAAGTAGTAATAAGGCTCAAGGAGTAGCACCAGAGATGGTTGTAGTTAAGTGAGCACTGTAATAATGCTGGTGGTCAGAGGTTGGTGGAAAGGAGCAGTACAGTAACAAATATTGTGAGGCAGAAGAGAAAAGAGGCAGTGTAGCTGCCTCCTACACACTAACACACACACACATTCATCTTTGTACTCTTATGAAAGTTAATATTAACAAGATTACAGAAGTAGCTCAACAAATATGACCTATTAATACATGGGGAAAATAAAATAAATTTAAAATACATTTTTATAAATTTTTCATTCTACAGTATTTCTTAGTGTATTCCCTAAAATTATATATAATTTTTTCAGGTTCTTTCTCACGTGCTCTTAACATGGAATTTGAAGAGTTTGATGAAGCTGGACCATCAATGACAGTGAAAGATGACTTTCAGCAGTTTGAGGCTGATGATAAGAGTACAATTATGGAAGGACCTACTGATGGTAAGACTAAACTGGTTTGACATTATTCTCATTTAATACAATGATGATCAGCATTGTTCTAAGTACAGGTGCTCTTCCACTTCCAATGATGGTTACATTCTGACAAACCCATTGTAAGTCAATTGTGTAAGTTGAAGGTGAATATGATGTGGTAAATAAAAAAGTAAATAAATAACTACTGTCACTGAATAATAAACAAATAATTACTGTAAAGATCAGTATTATAAACTGAATAAATGAATGCAAGTTATAGACTTGCCACCTTCATGTTGGGTAATTACCTTAACACTTGAGGATCCGTTCTGTAGTTCTACGGCTTTGAAGCCAGGGCCCAAGTTGTAGTTCTACGCCATGAGCTCAGCTCACTTGGATAAGCTGTAAGTGGTAAATTTGGGCCTAGATATGAAAGAATGCATCTATGTGGTAAGTGTGTACCATATAAAACAAATCCTGCAGCATGCAGTGCGTGAGAAAAAATTGCATCTTTGTTTTTGAATTAAAACAGAGATTTTGTGGTGTATTTTTGTATGCTTTTTTATGTTTGTATTCTTGGTTTCTTGGTCTTATTTGATAGAATGGAAGACATATTACAGAAATAGAGATGATTTTGATTGGTTTTAGTACTGAAAATGGCTTGAAACTGAGCTCAAAATAGTGGAAATGTTTGATTTTTGCCGATGTTCAAGAGTAAACAAATGATGTCACGCGTCCAATGCACGTCAACTGGTGGGTCTAATATACATTCATGAATGTACTGATATTATTTATACAATTATTACAATATCGCGTAGCAGTAAATTTTCTATTTTTTAGTGTGATTATAATAAAAATTCATTATATGAATAAAAAATCAAAATGGAATTCATTTATAAAGCCTAGAAATGTAATTAATAAACAGAGGAAGTGTTATTTTGTGCCAGGAATGTGTGCATTGTTTATTCTGGACCCAATTTTGAAATTGTAATGCTTTGAACTTTGTGTGAAATTGGCCAAATTACGAATTTCCGATCAGTATATTGGGTATATTGAGTGTTTACGAGGATAGTGAGGCTCAAGTTAGAGTACATAGGAAAGAGGGAAATTATTTCCCAGTAAAAGTAGGCCTTAGGCAAGGATGTGTGATGTCACCGTGGTTGTTTAATATATTTATAGATGGGTTGTAAGAGAAGTAAATGCGAGGGTCTTGGCAAGAGGCGTGGAGTTAAAAGATAAAGAATCACACATAAAGTGGGAGTTGTCACAATTGCTCTTTGCTGATGACACTGTGCTCTTGGGAGATTCTGAAGAGAAGTTGCAGAGATTGGTGGATGAATTTGGTAGGGTGTGCAAAAGAAGAAAATTAAAAGTGAATACAGGAAAGAGTAAGGTTATGAGGATAACAAAAATATTAGGTGATGAAAGATTGGATATCAGATTGGAGGAGAGAATATGGAGGAGGTGAATGTATTCAGATATTTGGAGTGGACGTGTCAGCGGATGGGTCTATGAAAGATGAGGTGAATCATAGAATTGATGAGGTGAAAAGAGTGAGTGGTGCACTTAGGAGTCTGTGGAGACAAAGAACTTTGTCCTTGGAGGCAAAGAGGGGAATGTATGCGAGTATAGTTTTACCAACACTCTTATATGGGTGTGAAGCATGGGTGATGAATGTTGCAGCGAGGAGAAGGCTGGAGGCAGTGGAGATGTCATGTCTGAGGGCAATGTGTGGTGTGAATATAATGCAGAGAATTCGTAGTTTGGAAGTATACTTAGTCCTAGTTATTATTTCCTCCAGTTTTCCGTAACAGAGTAGTTGGAATTTGTCTTCATTGAACATTATATTGTTCTCTGTTGCAGATCCTAGTATCGTCTGAAAAAGATGATACAGTTCTGTGGTTTACATCTCTGTCTATGTCTGATATGAGAATAAGGAACAGGATGGGTGTGAGTACTGTGCCTTGTGGGACAGAGCTCTTCACTATGGCAGCATCTAATTTAACTCTGTTTACCACTAATCTTTGTGTGTGATTGGTTAGAAAGTTGAAGATCCATCTGCCTACTTTGCCGATTATCCCTTTAGCACACATTTTGTGTGCTATTACACCATGGTCGCACTTGTCATAGGCTTTTGCAAAGTCTGTGCATACTACCTCTGCATTCTGTTTGTTTTCCAGTGCATCTAGGACCATATCATAGTGGTCTAGCAGTTGCGAGAGGCAGGAGCGACATGCTCTGAAACCATGTTGCCCTGGGTTGTGCAATTTTTGGAGTGCAGGTAGTTTGCTCTCCTGCTTCTTAGAACTCTTTCAAAGATTTTTATGATGTGGGACATCAAAGCTGTTGGTCTATAGTTCTTAGCTACTGCTTTGCTGCCACCGTTATGGAGTGGGGTATATCTCTTGTTTTTAGTGACTGTGGAATCTCTCCTGTGTCTAAGCTCCTTCTCCATAGCATACTTAGGGCCCATGAGAGGGGTTTCTTGCAGTTTTTAATGAACACCGAGTTCCACGAGTCTGGGCCTGGGGCTGAGTGCATGGGCATGTCGTCGATGGCTTTCTCAAAGTCTAGTGGAGTTAGGGTTATGTCATAAATCTTGCCTACATTGGCAGGGTTTTGAGGCTCATTCATGAAAAAATTGTTTGGATTGTCTGTCTTTAAACTGGTTAGTGGCTCGCTGAACACTGAGTCATACTGCGATTTCAATATCTTGTCCATTTCCTTGTTGTCATCTGTGTAGGATCCATCTTGTCTGAGCTGGGGCCCTATACTAGAAGTGGTTTTTTACTTGTTTTTGGCATATGAAAAAATATCTTCGAATTTCTTTCAATTTCACTAATCGCTTTTAGCTCCTCTTGTCTTTCCTAGATCCTGTATGAGTCCTTTAACTTTAGCTCAATATTTTCCACTTCCCTGGTTAGCACTTGCTTTCATGTATCAGATAATCTGGCATTCTTGAGGAGCTCTATGATTCTTCGTCTTCTCCTGTAGAAGGAGCATCTCTCTCCAGTTTACCTCTTTTCTTTTGTCTTATAGGAATATACCTTGAACATACTTCAGCTACCAGGAGGGTGATCTTTTCGAGGCATTGGTTAGGGTCCATGTAATTTAAGATATCCTCCCAGCATGTTTCATTTAGGGCATAATTTACCTGATCCCAGATGATGTTCTTGTTGTTGAAGTTGAATTTAGTAAAGGTACCCTCATAGCTGTATGCATCTTGCCGATCAGGACACCTGTGCATGCAAATTTGGACTTCGATTAGATCATGATCAGAATTTGTTGTTTTTGATATTGTTATATTCCTTACCAGGTCCTCATTATTTGTGAAAATAAGGTCCAGTGTGTTCTCCAGTCTTGTTGGCTCCACTATCTGCTGACGTGGGGTGTGTTTGTTGCAGAAATTCAGCAGCTCCTGTGTGTGTGACCTTTCATCTGAGCTACCTCCAGGGATTATTTCTGCTACAACATTATTTGCTATATTCTTCCATTTTGTGTGTCTTAGACTGAAGTCACCAAGCAGCAAGATGTTTGGGGATGGGGCTGGAAAGTTATCCAGACAGGAGTCAATTTTTGACAGTTGTTCTCTGAACTGTTGGGAAGTTGCATCTGGTGGCTTATATACAAGTACAACGACTAAGTTTTGGTTCTCAATTTTTATTGTCAGAGCTTCAACTACATTTGTGGTGTTCAGTATCTCTTTGCAAATGAGACTTTGACGTACAGGCCAACCCCCCCCTTGTTGCCTGTTCTTTCTGTCACATCTGAAAAGGTTGTATCCAGGTATCCATATTTCACTGTCAAAGTAATCTTTTGCATGGGTCTCTGTGAAGGCTGCAAACAGTGCATTTGACTCCCCTAGAAGTCCACTAATGAAAGGTATTTTGTTGTTGGTGGATGGCTTAAGGCCCTGTATATTTGCAAATATAAATGAGGTTGTGTTGTATGTTTGTTGGGGGGATTTTGTTGTTGGCATCAGTAGCTGTGAGCTCGCAGGGGCCACTGGCTGTGCTTCCAGTCTGACAAGGCTCCAAGGCGGTGGACTATTTTGGTTATCTCTTTCCATTTTCTTTCTTTGTTTCCTACTACTAAAAAATCACTTTGGGTGTTGTCATAGCTACCATAGCTACTATGATGTGTTGTACAGGGTGTGTGCTTCCTGGTCCCTTTTAGATAGTATGCAGTGCAATTGGTATTGTAACATTGTTTTTCAAGGACTGAAGACTGACACATCTCAGGGTGTAAGTATTTTCAAAAGGTAGAACGACACACTTCCTTAGACAGGAGGTCACGGCATTTTTTGGGATGCTCAGAGTTGCATGCCCCATTCGTTTTCCCTGATATTCCATGTTTACAGATGCCCCAAACATAGAATTTGCACCATTTTGTTTTTGGCTGGGTACAATTTGTGCTGGATGTATTCCTAATCTGTGCCGGCCCTAGAGCTGCACTGCAGTCCTCCATAGCCAAACCAGAGACACCACCATCTGTTGTCATGGCACCAACATTTTTCCTGGAAGAGGACTCCCTGAGTACATCTGTACTAGAGGCTATGACTGTGATGACTGCAGAAGAGTCTACCCCAGAATAGGGCTCCTCTACTACATCTGTACTAGGGGCTATGGCATTGGTGGCTGTGGAGTCTTTAACTGAATCTGGATTTTCACAATGGCTAGGGGCTGGGGACTGAGCTAGCTGTTGTTTTTGTTTCCTGTGTTTTTTCCAATGTGTATCTGCTTATTTTTGGGTCAGTTGTTGTAGACTGGGCATTCTGTGTGTTAGACTTTACTCCTCTCCAATCTTCCCATGCTCTATATATTCCAGGTAGACTATTCAATAGTTCCTCTTTTTTATGTGTGTGTATTGTTTAGTAACCTCCTGAGTGCTTTCCTGATATCTGTCCATAGTTCCACATCCCTGTTGCAGATCCAGAAACACCTATCTAGATAGATGTCATTTTTGGTTGCAGTGTTTATTCTTGCACAGGTAACATGATGTTTTGAAAAGCAAAGGTTGCATGTGAT